TTACGCAAGACATGGTAGCCTTTTTGCATTTCCGGGAGTCTCTCCGACCTCGTAATCCGACCTTGCATGCAACACACAACTCGGCGATTCCCAAGAAGCTCCGTAAGGTTTGCCTTCATTTCGGCCGCCTGGCTGCTCCTCATGCCTGTGGCGGGCTGAGTCCGATCAGAGCTGTCAAGGTGGGTCGGACTTCGAAGAACCACCAGTGACCAGTGCCAGGGTCTTCGAAAACAACGCGCTGCACCTCTGTGTGCTGAATCAAGACACCAGGAAATACCGATGAGTGGCAATGTGGCACTTGCGAGAGTGAGGGGAGGGGGGTGACGACCCAAATTATGATGAAGCAGTTCTCAACGGGAATGCCGCAGCCTTGGCCAGTGTTTCGTGAGAAGCATCAGAGTGCCGCACATGGCGCTTTTTCCCATGTGGCTCTTGGTGCGACTGGCCGTTGGAATACCGATCGGCTTGCCCAGGGCAGAGGATGCAGGTGCAAGACATGCTGGCTACGTACTTGTTGGATGGCACAAGGCAAGAGTAAACGACTGTAAGGCCGGTTCTTGTTGCGCAATGAATCCCCAGCAGGTGACGAGAGATATAGCAACACCAGTCAGCACATGAGATGGCCGCAAGGGCGTGGGATATCTGCTGCTAACTGCGTTGTCCTCGCAAACTCTGCTTCTCAAACTGTGCTGCAGCACTCAGCCGATCATCTGATGGGCTGATGGGCTGGCTTTAGATAGGTCCATGTCAGGAAGATGAAATACCACGAGGGAATCGCTGTCGCTTTTGCCCGCTCGGTTTGTGTGAAGATGTGTTCAAGCCCAGATTCTGCGCAGGGCCGGAGGCAAAGAATCACCATAGTGCAGAAGTGATCCTCTGGGTCCGGGCGGTCTGGGGTCAGTTGAAGGGGGCGAAGGGAAGTCCCAGAAGCATTTTTTTATTTGAAAAAATAAATCACCATAGGGCAGCGGTGATAGCTTGATGGTCGGCTGATTGGCTGCCACATGGTTTGCGGCCAAAGAAGCCATGCACACCGGCCAACTGAAAGAGGGGATGGAGCAGCTTCTACTACGGCATCTCCTTTTTGCCTACCAGAGATGCTCACCACAAAGAGATGCTCACCACAAAACCTCTCTTTAAGGCTGATAGCCTGTACCGCACCCAGCTCTAGCTGGCAGCACGCCCGCCGGACCGCAAGAATTATATCCTGAACTTTGGTACACCCAAGTTCGTTGCAGCATCAATCCCCGAGGTCATCATGATCTTCTCTAGCGAAGACTCGTGGCATCGCGAAGCGGCGCCTGACCTAGCGCCAGTGCCAATTAAACCCTTTCAGGGTTGTAACCCAAAAGCACTGACCCTAAACAGAATTGGGCTGGGACTCACGGGGTGAGGTCACCACGAATGGAAAAAGAGAGGGAGTCCTGACTTTCGAACTTCACAGGCTTGGGAGCTTACGAGGGTCCTAAGTTTAGGGTTAAGGTTTTTCTTACATCTAACTGGAAAAAGAAGTACATTTTTTACTTCAGGCGTTCGAGTTTACTACAAGTTCCTGGTTGGTGAGATTCTTGAGCTCCTAAGATTGACATGGGCGATATTCGGCTCCCTTTGCTTTACAAGCTGGACTAGAGACGTTGACCGATGTTCCCCAGTGGCTTCGTATCCTTAGCAGGTTCCGAAGAGTGTCTGAATACACGAGTTGGAGCTCAGAGAGGCACAGTTTCCATTGCACCGCTGGGCTACCCACAGGCGGGTTCCTGCTGTGGCATCCGGCATGTTCATCAACAAGTTTGAATATGTAGCTTTAGGGGACAAACCCCCAAACCCGAGTTTCCTAAACCCTTAACCCCAAAACCTAAACCCTAAACCTGCAGTGCTTCCAAAGTTAGGCCATGCGTCTCGCATTCGGCTGGTTTCCCCATCACCTAAACCCTAAGCCCTAAACCCTAAACCCTAAACCCTACACCCTAAACCCTAAACCCCCGAGGTGATCATGGACTTGGCCTCTGCCGCCATGTTTGGCATCCTGCTGTGGGATTTCTGGCGGCAGTCTTAGCTCACTGACAGAGCTCTGCCAGGGTTTAGGGTTTAGGGTTTAGGGTTTAGGGTTTAGGGTTTAGGGTTTAGGGTTCAGGGTTTAGGGTTTAGGGTTTAGGGCCAGTTTCAGCATGAATTGATCGGGAGAACTCCGGGAGCCCTGTAGTTGGCAAGCATAGCTTGCCACCGGGAGTCCTTCAGGCCATCTTACCTGTCTCCCCAACCCTTCCTAAGGAACCCTGAATCCTAAACCCGAACTGAAAAATCCCGTCTTGTTGGAGCCGTCGCAGTAGCCTCCCTCAATACCTAATCCCTAATCCCTAAACCCCAATCCCTAAACCCTAAACCCTAAACCCTAAACCCTGGGTGCATGCAGAGGCCCAGCCGCTTCGGAGCTCTCTTCAGCTGCATCAAGCCTACGGACGCTTGGTTGAGGGTTTTGGGGCCTGGCACGAAGCAGATTCCTGGTTCGGGGGTTTAGGGTGTTAGGGTTGAGGGTTTAGGGTTTAGGGTTTAGGGGCGAGAGTGGGCAGAGACTGTAGTCCCTAAAACCCACCTAAACCCTAAACTCTAAACCCTAAGCCCTAAAACCCGAAACCCTAAACCCTAAACTCTAAACCCGAAGCCCAAAACCCACAAACGAGCCCTGCCTCCTTCGGTCTGCCCCCTGAAGAGTCGGGCAGCTTAAGGAGCGGATGCATCCCTACTCCGAGTGTGGTCCTCAGCTGGTGTAAGCCTTGTGCACTGTCTGGGGTTAAGGGTTTCGGGTTGAGGCTTTAGGGTTGAGGGTTGGGGGTTTCGGATTCGGGTTGAGGGTTTGGGGTTGAGGGTCTAAGGTTTCGGGTGCAGGGTTCAGGGCTTTGAGTCGGGTGGGTTGAGAGTCCCGAGCTTGGTTTTTGTGGAAGTGGGGCTCCGCTGTCACGGCCGAAATGGCAAGAGGATTCCCGCGCTTACGTTATGATTTTGTGTTTAGAAGCACTTGGACTCGAGTCCCTCAAGCAAATTACACGTCCCAGGTCTCGGGGTTGAGGGGTTCAGGAGTTAGTCGTGGCTGGGTTCGCAGCCGACACTTGATACTTGGTTGGACGTGCAAGCAGCTCAGGTTCTCTTGACATGCAGCACAGGAACTTGCGCCAGTGGGGAGCATCGCCCGACTCAGTATTTTCACCACACTGTAGAAGATGGCCCGCCCTGCGCGCAGAAAGCAGGACCCAGACAGGTGAAGAGGGTTTAGGGCGTATGTTTCAAGATTATGTGCCAAAAGCAGAAGCACTCGCTTTCAATTGTTTCGCGCCACAACACAAATGCACATCAAAGCTCATTGAGCAGAACTGCTGCATGCTGACTGTTTCTGGAATAGCTTGTGGGGCAGGGGGGGGGGGGGGGGGGGGGGGGGCCGGGCATGTAATTGTCACGCACACCCTTTTCTGAGCACCCGAGTTGCAGGCGGTCATCGGTGCTGTGCTTGAATAATAAGCCACAAGCTGCTGCTGAGCTAGTGGCTAAATTATGACAATCTTCATGTTATTGTTCGGCACAGACTTGGATCCTCCACCATTTGTGCAAGCCATCGGCTCGTTTCCATACGTGTAAGCATCGGAAGTACCCAAAAATTGGGAAGATCGAGACGCGGGCGCTGCTGGAATTTGGGATTGGGATTCTGCGAGGTTGGGGTGTGGGGGGTGGTTGACAGCTTTGAACAAACGTAACCGATCGAGGCCAGCTTGTGCATTAAAAATCCCTTTTGGGATGTCTCGCATTGGGGGGTTTGGGTCACGCAATGTATCAAAATCTTTGAGGCAATACAATTACCGGAGCTGAGTGGGATCCAATGTCCTTCCGCATGAGATCATGCGCATGGGCCTTTGAGGGCTTCAAGCCAGTTCTCAGATAGCAAGTCGAGAGTTTGGACATAGACGTGGGGCAGAGTCAAGCTTAGGGTTTAGGGTTTAGGGTTTAGGGTTTAGCGTTTAGGGTTTAGGGTTTAGGGTTTAGGCATTTGGAGCCGCCAGCCGCGACATGTCAGCTCCCAACTGCGCAACTGCAACAGCAAGCTTTGTAGTTCCGAACCTGTCAGTAACCTCAGCTGGAATTTTTGGTTTAGGGTTTAGGGTTTAGGGTAACAGTGGGCCGGCCATGGCAGATGATGAGGAGCAGACGCCTTGGTCAACATTCTTCTCTGAGCCTTTTCCTAGGATGACGCCGCAAAGGCTAAGCCCCCAGCCCTTCAAAATTGTCAAACTGACTGTATGTGTTGGTTACGTACGGCGGTTGCCGTCATCACATTGGAATCCTCGACCCACCGTTAGCCCGAAACGGGTCCAAGAAACGGTTCTAAGAAAACCTACCCAAAACCCAAAACCCTAAAGCCTAAACCCTCAACCCTAAACCCACATATCCCCATTGTGCTGAAAAGTAACCAAGTCAACCCACAACCCCAACCCCGAGTCGCCACAAGCCTAAGACCTCCTCCCCCCCCCCCCCCTGCCGCTCCAATTTCGAGCGCCCGAAATCCTGGAAGCCGAACCCTGAACCTGAAACCCTCAACCCTAGACTAGAACCCTAAACCCTGAATGTTAACCCCTAAGCCTTAAACCCTTCTTGCGAAGGTTGGAATGCCCCTTCAATGCCCGGGACTGTCCCGCACCACCCGAGGCGCGTCGTTTAGGGTTTAGGCTGCAAACAGGGCTCCATGTTGAGGATTGGGGATTTAGGGCTGAGGGGTTCAGGGCTCAGGGTTTGTGGCTGTTTGCACGGTTCATGGCAGTTGTGAGTTGGGGCTGTAAGACTAAGCTAGGAAAGCGTGCGCTTATTCAACAGACTTCAGTGGCTCAACGTGGGTTTAGGCTTGCTTCTGCACAGCATTGTGTACCTGTTGCAGCCCCTGCTGTTCAGAGGCTTACTTCATAGGCGACAGGCCTAATGAAGCTTTTTGTAGGGGTGGCGTAAAGCCTGGACAATTCATGGCTCATCCTTCTGGCAGCCAGGGCTTGGCGCAGAACGTGGCGCCACGAGTATCCCTGGAGTCATCTTCATCCTCGTCTATGTCTTCATGGGTTCTCCATCTTCAGCGCGCCATCCAGGCTGACCTGAGCGATTCTGCCGAGTCTGCCGGCCAAAAGAACGCGCTCAATGAAGGTCCTGACAATGATGAGCTCGACGAGAATGAATCTGATCTCGAGCGGCCTGTGTCAGCAGGCGAGCAAGGCCAGCAGCAGAAGATCGCCTGCGACCCATGCTTGTTCCTTAGTCGTAGAGTAGGTAACCGTTAACCTTTTTGGGTTCATATATTCCCCTTATAATCCCAAAGGTTAACCTTTAATTTAAAACCCCTAGGTACTGGACAACAAAGGTTCTTTTTCAGCAAGCGAGGCTGCAGGAATGGCTCAGCATGCAAGTACTGTCACTTGGACCATGTTCATAGCCATCGTCCTGCGCAGAGGCCTCGCAAACAAACACGTGACCGCTACAAACGACACATTCTTCAACTTGTTCAAGACCAGGATGATCTCGAACACATTCAAGACGAGCTGCAGGAGGTATCGCGCAAGAAACCCTATATGCGCAACTTTTTGCAGGGCTATTTGGAAGGAAGAGCGTCCAGCGCCGTCAATGTCGCCTCGCCCGCGCAGCCCAAGTCAATGCCGCGTCTGCCGGGGATTCAGACGAATGCGCCCGACGACCAAAGTTGCTCTTCCTGCAGTGCTCCCTCGCCAAGTATTCCAGGATTGCCACCGTCGTCTGCAGCATCTGCTCAGCCCGCGGACACAGGATATCAACCGCGGCAAGATGCAATTGTGCAGCGATTCAGTTTGTGATGTTAATTCAATGAGTTTCACCATTTTCAATGCACTCTAGAGGTCTGCCAATTTGGCACGTCTTATATGAAGCATGCCTGTATACTAGGGCATGCTGGCCCTGGCCTGGAAGACCCCTTGTTCTGCGATGTGTTGTGGGCTCATTACTCGATCCTACTTGTGGGCGTTTGGTGTCAGACTGGCCAAGTCAAAAGCAACACGCAAAGAGCTTCAATCGGACTTCACAAGATCCGCAAGTGCACGCGCACGGCATACACAAGAAACGCACATCTTACGCTGCCACTGCCACGTGAGAAGCTTTGTCGGCACAAATTTCGGCTCCTTCAACTCCCACATCTTCCTTCTCAACACATGCTGTATATATAGAGACTCCCCCAAACCCTAAACCCTGAACCCTAAACTCCGTGCGCTTCTGCAGTACATGGGTGGCGGTATGCGGCGGTAGCCTGAGTCCACACTACAGCTCCATGCGAGGACGGAAAAATCGTGTCTGAGGGAGTGTTGGGCCCAGGGTTTCGGGTCTAGGGTCTAGGGTTTAGGGTTTAGGGGGTCTGATAGGGTTCATAGGGTCCTCGTGTCTCGCGCGTCGAGGCAAGCTTGAGTGTTCGGGAGAGATAAAATGGGGCATGAGCTCCATGTCGGGTTCAGGGTTTAGGGTTTGGGGTTTTCGGGTTTGCTGTTTAGGGTTTAGGGTTCGGGGCTGACCGTTTAGGCCTTAGGGCTTAGGGTCAAACATTAATCTGAAGCCCTCGGCAGAGATACAAGAATGGAGAGCTTTTGGGATAGCATTTCGGCTTCTTGAAGCCCTATACCCTGTACCCTATACCCTACACCCTCAACCCTAGCGTACACCCGAAACAAATCAGGGTGATGGATCTGGATGTCTCAACACTCTCAATCCTGCTTCCTCAATCGCAAGTTGCAAGCTCTTCAGAGTAAACCTAAGCCCTAAGCCCGAGGTCTAAATGTGCAACTGCGTCAGATTTAGCTTTCGGGTTTTGGGTTCGATTTCCCAAAGTGAATCTCTCGGGGCAAATTCAGGGGCACACACGCCAACACCCATAGGGTTTTGTTTGGGATAATCGCCTCTCAGCAAAGTGGGTCTGGTAGTGCTAGTGCTAGTGGTAGTGGTAGTGGTAGTGGTAGTGGCCCTAAACCCTTAGCCCTAAACCCTAAACCCTAAGGTAGCTGCTGCAGCTGTACCCGGTACCAGTCCTTACAGCAAAGTGTACGCATTCCAGGGAGAGAGAGTGAGAGAGATACACAGAGAGAGAGAGAGAGAGATATCAGAAAAAGAGAGGCGCCCTGTCACCAGCACCCACATTTCCCTGCGACTCCCGGAACTTGCGCATACATAGGAGCCTCGATAATTTGAACAGGGTCTTGGGGGGGGGGGGGTTATTGTAGTATATGCATAAACGGACCACCCTAGACCCCTAAACCCTAAACCCTAAGCCCTAAGCCCTAAACCCTACATTGCTGGCTCCCAGCCTGCATGGAGATCCCTTGTCCGCAGGAGTTACGCCTGGGATCTGTGTACGCGAGCGCTGGGATAGGCAAGGGGGGTTGGCGACATGAGACCGTGCATGCGTTGTCCTTCCAGGATCCTTTCTGATGGGCTTTATTGCGATATTAAATACAGAAGTTCAATCAAAAACAAATAATATATATATATATATATATATACATAGATATATATATATATATATGTATATATATATATACAGGGCACCAGAAAGGTTCGTTTAACCTGCATTAATATATGGATTAATATATAGATTTGGTTGTGACGTGCGGAATAGCACATGCCACCGCACAATGCAACAAAGGGATCTTACCCTCGGACCCTGCTAGGAGGTTCTTGGATTTTAGAGGAGAAATAAGTAGGGCAGTTAACTACAGTACAGCTATAGCTCCCGAAACCCTAAACCCCAAACCATAAACTCGTTCAAAGTCGAAACTTTATTTGGCATACTTTCACAAGCCCTACCATCCTAAACCCATATACTGGGTTTTGGAGTACTATACTTTAGTTTAGTTTTTGGGGTTTGGATTTCTATTATAGCTACTTGTACGTAAGAAATATACCACTTTTTTCCAGGGTCGACACCAAACTAGGTTCGAATAACTGCCCATGAACCTTCAAGATTGTCCCCTTGCCGTCTGCACAAGCCCCTGAAACCCCAGTATAGTATAGCCCCAGAGGCTCTAGGAAGCCGTGCTCCTACGTTTAAGGAAGCCAGAGCCCTGTAAACCCTAAGCCCTAAACCCTACACCTACTGAAGCAGCTCTTGGGCCGTTCCATTGATGTCGACCGTGCAGACTGCCGAAATCCTGTCTATTCCCAGAATGCGGTCTGTTCGCCTTCTGGGATCATCAAACGCGAGCCCTTGACCCTAGACTCTATCCGTAAGCACCACGCGCCAAGCCATAAATCCCGTGCCAGTTCAGTCTGAGGATGTTAGGTCAGAGTTTCGGGTTTAGGGGTGGCGTGCGCTGGGGTGGGTGGGAAGCTGAAGGCACACGGGCCTACGTGCAACTCCACATGAAACTCCCAATCAGCACGAAAATCAGAAGTGGGAATTTGGCTTAAGAAGCCCTAACCCCTAGTTGCTTTGTTTGTTCGTGACACCCTCAGAAGCGGGAGCATTCAGACTCACCATGCCCCCAGACCTAAACCCTGAACCCTATAAAGACCTCTGAACCTAGTCCAACCTTGTCGTCCCCCAACTCAGCTGACCTGAATCATGGTTTCGCGGGTGGTGGGTATAGTGGCTAGTGTCTATGTTGGCTGGGATCTCGTGATGCGTGATGCTTTAAATTTTTCTGGGATAGTGTGTGTTTAAAGTCCAACCTTTGTCATAGGTACGAACATAAGTAGCAAGGTTTCCCTACCGATAGCCCCAGCTACAACTACCCATCAACCTCCCTAAGCCCCTAAACCGCTAGACCCATAACCCCTAACCCCTAAGCCCCTGAACCCCTAAACCCCTGAACCCCTGAACCCCTAAACCCCTAAACCCCTAAACCTCTGCCCCTAAACCCTGAACCCCTGAACCCCTAAACCCCTAAACCCTCCCGGCAGGGACCTTCCTCCTGGCTGCTTTGGCGATCTACTGCCTCAAGGCAGTGCCAAACTTGCACTACGGAATTCGGCCCGGCACCTGGGAGGTTTGGGGTTTAGGGTTTAGGGTTTAGGGTTTAGGGTTTGGGGTTTAGGGTTTGGGATTAGAAATTTAGGGCTTAGGGTTTTGGCTTTCGAACTTTGGATCTAGGGTTTTACCTAGAGCCCGGATTGGGTTTTGGGGTTTAGGGTACCGGGATTTGTTTTTGTACTTCCTTTGTTTGCGTAACTCGTTTTTGTAGACAACACACATGGAGGTTCCCGACAGAAAGGGGCTGTAATGGAATGGCGGGGACAGGGTGTTACAGCGCCAGGCTTCACGCAAGAGAAGTTTCAGAATTCGCTTGTTTGTGTACTGTGGGGGTAGTTGCGGGTCAAGGGTTTAGGGCCCCCTAAACCCTAAACCCTAAACCCTAAACCCTAAACCCTAAACCCTAAACCCTAAACCCTAAACCCTCGAGTTTGTCTTGTGATGTTGGATGGTCAAAGGGCTAGAAGTCGGCCGCGGGCAGGCTGGGCGCCTTCTGGTCTACATGTTTGGGTTTAGGATTTAGGGTTTAGGGTTTAGGGATTAGGGTTAGGATTTCGGGTTCGGAGGTTAGGGTTCAGGGTTATGGTTTAGGGTTGTAGGGGTCAGGGTTTACCCCAATAAGGTACCCCGAATATCAACCCAATATAGACCCCCAGAAATAGTAGGATCCCCTAATAACCAGGACCCCAATAAGGTACCCCCCCCCCCCCCCCCCCCCCCCATGTCGTAAACCCCCATTTGGGAATTTCTTGGAAGGGAGTGTATAGGGAGGGGGTAGAACAGCGGGAGAGGCAGGATCCCAAATGACTGTTGCTCTCTCTATTTGTCGGGGCGAAGGGGGGGGGGGGGGCAGGGCGGGTGGCAAATTCCTTGTTCTAAGTCCTGTACGAACAAGCTAGGTACCTACGGAAAGGAATTGGAGGTCAAAATGGAAGCCTCAACACAAAACTCCCTCCTTTTGGGGGTCTTTCCGATAGGGTGTTCTATCATGGAAGAAGGAAGAACCCCCTGACGAAATTCGGCTTGGCGTTTGGGGTTGGGAGTTCAGGCCCTATTCTGTGTAGTTTCCACGTTGTGCCCTACACCTTAAACCCTAAACTGAGGTACAATCATGCCACAAAGTGGGCCGATGTGGACAATGCCAGGGGCCCAGTTGCTCCAAGAGTTCTATAAGGCCCTAAACCCTAAACCCTAATCGCTCTGTTTACACGGTCCAAGGGTTTTATATGAATTTAATAGGGAGGAGTTTATATACGTCGAAAAGGGGCAGCGTTGCCCGGCAATGGATTTTCAACGTGCGCCGCACCCCCCAAACAGTCAGGGTGTCCTGAATATCCCTGCGAACTTGACTTTACTCAGGAGGCCCCTACTAAACAGGGTCCAAAATTTAAAAAAACAAATATATATGTATATATATATATACATATATATATATATACATATACATATATATATATATATATATATATATTTTTTTTTTTTTTTTTGGGGGGGGGGGGGGGGGGGGGAGGGGGGGGGAGGGAGGGGGGGGAGGGGGGGGGAGGTGGGGGGGGGAGGGGGGGGGGTGGAGGGGGGGGGAGGGGGGGGGAGGGGGGGGGCGGGGGGTGGGGGGGGGGGGGGGGGGGGAGGGGGGGAGGGGGGGAGGGGGGGGGAGGGGGGGGGGGGAGGGGGGGGGGGGAGGTGTGTGAAGCTTTTTGAAACCACCCGATGGGCATGAACCTCCACGTTCGGCTGATTTGGCACCTTACAACCCTCCTAAGGCATTAAACTCTAAGATTTCATTCTAAGGGTTTGTGGTTGAGGGGTTTAGGGTTTAGGGATCCACCCAGGTCCCTGAACCCCAAA